AAAACTCTCAAAATAATGCATTGCTGATTAAAGGTTCCCCTCGCACATATGGGCTACTTGTTCCTGACTCTAGGGGGCGGTGCTCATCTCTGCTTCAAAACCAAAGAACCAGCACTGTCCAAAAACGTCTCCATGGTCATGTGGCCGGCATGACTAAATGCCAAAGGCACATGGAATGCTGTTACCTTCCCATCAAAGGTGGTCTCTATTTTTCTACTTGCATTTCTTACATGCTTTCGAACTGCTAGGTTGGCAGAAGCTGGGATGAGTAACGGGAGCTCACTCCGTTACATGGCACTAGGGATTCAAACCACCGAACTGCAGATCGACAAGCTCAGCGTCTTAGCCACTGAGCCACTGTGTCCCTCACATTGCTGATTAGCTAATGATAAACAAAGCAAATATAATGCAAAAATCAACCTTCAAGCTTGCTATTTTTATTTCTTTCAAGCCTTTTTTTAAAGCTGAAAATTGTAGGTTACCAAGAACAATACAAAAGGAAAGGGATACTTAAATATTCCCCTTTTTTATGTCACTATCTATAGAAATGCTGTACTTGTATCTTCCTTTTTCCTTTTTCCAGAAGAAAATAAATCTGGGGAGAGTAATTTGAAGTGGAGGAACAGTGACAGAAGAAAAGGAAAAAGTCACTGAATGTTCTAAAATTCAATATATTAAGGTTTGGCCCAGCGGTGAAATCCTCTGAAGTCTGCTACCAGTTCGGTGAGTCTGCTACCGAGCGCACGCTTTGCGCGCATGAACGTTTGAGGCGTGCCCACGCAGTGCTAAAAAAGAACATTTTGAAGGCTTCCAAATCTGCAAAGGTAAGTTGAACAGTGAGGGAAAGTTGGAATCCACTGTGCCACACGATTTAGATTAGCTAGAAAGCAGGAAATCCAATGATTCTAGCTGATATAAATTGGGCATCACAGCTTATTATCAGAAATACTGATTCACCAGAACCATTAGCATTTTTTATTACCAGTTGGAGCGAACTGAACTGGTAGCATTTCACCCCTGATTTGGACCATCTTTTCTCAGCCATTGACCACAACGAGTAATGAAGGGATGCAACATGGTAAGTGATCAATCACAATTAGAAGAGGACGACATAGAATAACAGAATTGGAAGGGACATGGAAGTCATCCAGTCCAACCCCTGCTCGAGCAGGAGATCCTATGCCATTCCAGACAAATGACTGTCCAGTCTCTTCTTGAAAGCCTCCAGTGATGGGCAACCCACAACATTTGGTTTTTTCCCCCATATTTCTCTTGGATTTAACATAACAGAATAACAGAGTTGGAAGGGACCTTGGAGGTCTTCTAGTCTAACCCTCTGCTCAGGCAGGAAACACTACACCACTTCAGACAAATGATTATCCAACAGCTTCTTAAAAACTTCCAGTGTTGGAGCATTCACAACTCCTGGAGGCAAGATGTTTCCCATGATAAATTGTTCTCACTGTCAGGAAATTTCTCCTTAGTTCTAAGTTACTTCTCTCCTTGACCNTCCATTCCATTCTCTTCTCTATCCTATTCATATTCATCTATCCTATCATATCCTATTCATGTCCATCTATTCTATTCTGTCCTGTCCTGTCCTATTCATGTCCATCTAGACACCAAAGACAAATTCCTTGTGTGTCCAATCACACTTGGCCAACAAAGAATTCTATTCTCTTCAAACTGCAAACTGGAGAGATGCGCAATGTAAAAGCAAGAAGCATCCACACCCACAACAGTTTAATGATCCTGGATGCTGTTTGGCACTGGAGCTGCAGGGACTCAACTGCAGGTCCCACTTATGAGTCACTAGAACACATGGCGCAGCCCACAATGGGAGGAAACAGAGATCAGAAGGCAGCCCCCACCCCACCCAGCTCTGAGTGCCATTAAAAAGCCAACACCACCCACTTTGCGGTACACTGTACTTTTCTTGTGCTCCAGGCAGACAAATGTCACCAAGACGTCCCCAGTGGTGTTAAATTAAAATGTCACCCAAATAATATCAATAATTTAGCTTGGGTTTTTTTCTTTTATCTTTACAGTAATGCAAGAAGGGGTGTTTTTTTAAAAAAAAGGAAAGAGAGAAAGAAATACAATGATGCTTCCTGCCCTTGTGATCAATTCATGTACAGAGATGGAGGCAGACAAATTTTTTTGCACGTTTTCCTCTGGCAATTTTGATTCCATTTGCTGAAAGAGGACTTTGGAAATGCACCTTTTTTTGAGGGTATAGTGTTTTATTTTTTTCCTTCCAAATACATTCACCAATATACATTCTTGTAAATACTATTAATATGTATCTATTAACTATTAACATTTATCACTATCTTCTTACAAATATAGAGAACACAGTTGGGATTACTTTCTGGCCACCTTCATCTTGTTTTGCAACAACCCTATTCCTTCCTTCTTCTCAACCTCCCTTCTCTGCCTTCTTCTTTCCTCCTCTCCTTCCTCTTTTCTTCTTCCCCTCCCTTTCCCCCCTCCTCCTCTCTTCTTCTCCTTCTTACCCTCTCTCCTACACTTAATTCCCCTCCCTTACTCCCTCTGCTTTACCGGTTCTTCCTTTCCCTCCCCATCCTTCCTTTCTTTTTCCCCTCTCTTCCCCGCTCCTCCTCTCTCCTCCTCCTTCTTNACCTTAAAGCTACAGGACATGAAATTAATTTTGAAGGAACCAGGTTAATCTCTAAAACTGAACACTTCAACAAGATAATAATTATGGAAGCTATCAAAATAGAGAAACACTCCCATAACATAAATAAATGTGACGATACCTCCTGCCTACCAGATATCAGGAAACCAGCCCTAATCAACAAACGAGCCCCACCCACCACCCAGGCCATTACAACACGAAACAACAACGGACACACAGCCAGCACCAATCAGTACCAATCTACCAATCATGATACAGCCACACATCCAAACAATCCACTTACTGAACTTTTCACTCAGATCCTCGTATAAATATATTACCATCTATTTTGCATTACTCTGCAGATTAAAGGAAGCTGCTTGAGAAAGTACATTTAATTTTAAGCATATGTTTTTTAAGCATGTATCTTCTCAAATGTGTTCGCTCTCCAAAGAGACCTGCTTAAACTATACTTTTGAGCTACGGTGCGTATACTGTAGACATTCAGAACACGAAGAAAAGAAAATGAGACCATGTGTTAAATTTGGCAGAGAGGATTAAACGCTACATTAATTCATCAGATGATAAATTATATCAACTTGCATTGAAATTCTCAGAGATCAGGTTGAAGAAAAAACCTTTTCCCTTAAATTTCCTGGGAAAACTGATCAGCATTAATTGCATAGCTTTAGCAAAGCTTCTCCAATTTCCCGTGTCAGATCGGTTCTCAGTAGAGATAGGTGATTTTTTTCCCAATAGACACATCGACAACCTCGTCATGATTATCCTTTGCAGGAGACATGATGTTGAAAAAAATAATATCACCTAGAGTGGATGATGGAGATAAAAATGTCAGACCATGTTTGCAACTTTGAAAGATTTGATAGTGGCTTCATAAAATCAGTATGTTAACTTTATGTGGGTCTGTGACCGTAATAAAGATTGGATTTGATGTCATACGCTAAATATTTCAGAAGATGAAACATGGACTTTGAAGGGCTATTCAGACTCTCACATCCACCTTATTACAAGAACATAAACCCACACTTGTGTTTGTGTATAATGACACACCAAAGAACTGGACCTTATTTTGTATGACAATTTTCCAGGTGTCAGTTCCACTTTCAGTCTCCTTTTTTCAAGATTAAACATGCCATATCTTTAGACCGTTTATCCACTATATACATTGTGTATATCACATCTGATATTTCAGGAGTTGCCACAAAGAAGAGGGAGTCATGCTATTCTCCAAAGCAACTGAGAGTAGAACAAGAAGCAATGGGTAGAAACTCATCAAGGAGAGAAGCAACCTAGAATGGAGGAGAAATTTCCTGACAGTGAGAAAAATTAATCAGTGGAACAGCTTCCCTCCAGAAGTTGTGAATGCCCCAACACTGAAAGTTTTTAAAAAGATGTTGGATATCCATTTGTCTGAAGTGGTGTAAAGTTTCCTGCCTGAGCAGGGGGTTGGACTAGAAGACCTCCAGGGTCTCTTCCAACTCTGCTATTCTGTTCTGTTCTGTTCTATTCTGTTCTGTTCTACCACCCCACCATCACTGAAGTGGTATAAAGCCTATTTTTTTAGGGTTGCACCATAGTGTTTGGATGATTCTAAAAAACCTTAAGTTGGTCCGCTGACCATCCACAGTGTTTGTCACTAGACTTATTCCAGTTTCTCTAAAGCTTTCTCAAAAACTGATGCCCAGAAATAATTCTTGAAGTCACCCTTGTCATTTCTTGATTTGAAATCAAGAAATCTTGATTTGAGGACTAGGAGAGGCACAATAGCCGTGTTCCAATATTAGAGGGGCTCCTACAGAGATGAAGTAGTCAAACTAATTTCCAAAGCACCAAAAAGCAAGACAAGAAGCAATGGGTGGAAACTAAACAAGGAGAGAAGCAACGTAGAACTAAGGAGACATTTCCTAATGGTGAGAACAATCAACCAGTGGAACAGCTTGCCTTTAGAAGTGGTGGGTGCTCCATCACTGAAAACTTTCAAAGAGAGACTGGACAACCATTTGTCTGAAATGGTATAGGGTTTCCTACTTGAGTAGCGTTAGACTAGAACAGTGTTTCTCAACCTTGGCAACTTGAAGATGTCAGAACTTCAACTCCCAGAATTCCCCAGCCAGCACTCCTGACATCTTCAAGTTGCCAAGGTTGAGAAACACTGGACTAGAAGATCTCAAAGGTCCCTTTCAACTCTATTATTCTATATTCAGCCATAAAATGAGGACCCTCCTGCTTTGTATGTTTCCTTCAAACCCACTGTTAGATTGACAGATTTGCAACAAGCCTACCTAAACCAACAAACTAGACATCAGTTTTTCCCCACACCCTCCAGCATCACACCTCTTACCTCGTAATGAGCCACACGTTGTGATTCCGATATTAGCTGAGCACTGCATACCCTGCAGTAACTTTCTGTGAATAATTCTTGATCGATCTCCGATGACTTCATCTGTTCAAAATAAAAGAAAAACAAAGAAAAAATGATTAGGATTGTTACAATCACCTCCTTGGCCTGTAAGTGTGGCAGATATTAACTATGGTTAACAATCAATCCATGAAAAGCTCTGACCAATTTTTTTTCTCGGGGTGTGTAGTTCACAATTAGGTAAAGATAAATGTTTCCTCGCTCATGTATACTAGTCATTCCCGACTCTAGGGGGCAGTACTCATCTCTGTTTCAAAGCCGAAGAGCCAGCGCTGTCCAAAGACGTCTCCGTGGTCATGTGGCTGGCATGACTAAATGCCAAAGANGGGAAAACCTGGAAGCTTTCAGATTCGGGTTTTCCCAGATGTGACAATATGACATCTCTAATAAAATAAAACTTTGAGGAAACTCGACCCTCAGAGTCTTCTTTTGTTGGGGTGTTACTTGGAACCCTAACATTAACCTGAATCCCCTTTAAGAAACCTACCAGCTCCCCGAAATTTGGGGTGCTGTCCAGGGTCCTGAGCCCCAAGCATTGACCCAAACTTGGGTGGCGCGAAGACTCAGGGAAGATGGAGGAAGAGAAGAAAACCACAGAGGAAGCTCTCATTCTGATCATAAATTGAGGACTACCTGTAATTCATCCCAGAAGCCATAGTGTCTTCTAACCATTGGGCTAACTACCAAAAGGTTTTTAATAGCGGATTCTTGACTTTTTAGATATTTCAAGTATTTGAAGGATGCTTGTTCACTCTTCATTGTGTGCCCAGAAGATGGTTTTGCCATTGTTATTAACTCAGTCATTCTCTAACCACCTGATTACAGATCAACAGAATTGAAGGGACCTTATAGGTCATCTAGTCCAACCACGCACCCCCTAAGCAGGAGACCCTACACCACTTCTGACAAATGGCAGCCCAATCTTTTCTTGAAAGCTTCCAGGGATGAAGCTCCCACACCTTCTGAAGGCAATCTGTTCCATAGGTTGATTGTTCTCACTATCAGAAAATTCCTCCTTATTTCCAGGTTGAATCTCTCCTGCATCAGTTTCCAACCATTCTTCCTTGTCTGGCCTTTGGGTGTTTTGGAAAACAGATTGACCCCCTCCTCTCTGTGGCAGCCCCTCAAATATTGGAAGACTCCTCTCATGTGTCCCCTGGTCCTTCTCCTCACTAGACCAAACATGCCCAGTTCCTGCAACCATTCTTTATCTCACTGATGCCTAAAATATCTCATTGTAGCTATCAAAGATCAGAAGAAGATGAGCAGCTCATCCAACCTTGTTTAGCATTCTCGCAATCCATTTCCAATATTTACTCAACTTAATATAATCCACTCACTAGCACAACATATTACATATTTTAAATTGCTATCTATCTTCTTCCAATAAATATGTCAGAAGACCGCTTCGTACTTAACTAAAAGCCAAAATTAGAAATGACATATTGAAATGAGACTTATACTGCAGCCCATCTTAAGGTCAGGGATAAATGCGAGGCTTGCCATTAAAAGTGAGCAAGAGGGACATCCATCATTTTCCATTAGGCTCATGACATACATGCACATACGCTCACAGCCACACATCATCAAGGCTAGCAAAGATCTCACACAACTTCTAGAGTAGCATTCCCCATCTTGATGGTCAGGCTGTTGTAGCCCACCAGCAGAGCTGGCAGCAGATTCGGACAGTGAAGAGGTTGGGGAGGAATCTGGGCCAGTCCTGGAATCTGGGGAAGGCTCTGATGAGGGCTCTGTGTTGGAGGCAGAGGAGGGGCCAGGGTCGTCCAACAGTTATCAGCTGCCTTTGAAATCAGAGATCCATGGAGCAGAAGAACAGCTAGAGTCTGTTCCCTATGTGTGGATGTGCAGAGCTGCCAGGAGAAGGGAACAGCTAAGGAACAATGGCTGACTTGAGAGTAAAGGCACAGGTAGACGGTGAATGCCCCCCCCCCAATAGGGAATAAAGAGGAGCAAAATGGGAGGGGAGTTTGCAGAAGACAACTAGTTCAATTCATGAAGGTGATGACCAGTTCCTGAACTCTTGTCAAGTAATTGCTGCTACAGCGTGGTGCTTGGAAGATATTGGCCTGGCAGCTCTCCAAGTCTGATAGAGGTCTGTAGTAGTGAAATCTCTTGAAAGACTGTTTGCCAGGACTTTGTTGGAAAGGAATTCACTTTAAACTAAATAAAAGAGGTTTTATCGGGATGAGGACTCTGCTTCATGATCTTGGGAAGCCTAGGTCAGAACAGCAGTCATCTGGTCATTAGCCCTCTCCTGGAGAGAGGAAATAAAAGAGGAGCGAAAGGTGAGTGGTGTTTACAGGAGAAATTACTTCACTTAATTGGTTGGTGACTCTCTGAGACTTCTTGCCAAGTTTTGCAGAGATCCGCCTGGCAGCTCTCCAAGCCAAATAAGGTCTGTGATTGTAAATCCTCCCTTGAAAGACTTCGCTGGACATGAATGAGCAGAATTCACAGTAAATCAATAAAAGGGTTTTTTGTTGGGACAAGGAGTTTGCTTCATGCTCTTGGGAAACCTCGGTCAGAACACAGGCTTCACTGCCATACACCAAGAAAGACATCTTGTGATTCTTCCAAGAAGTTTTGTTTATTGTTCCTGGCTTATAAATAGAAACTTGCCAGACCAAAGCAGGCCAACAGCCCCATAAAATATATACTCTGGGAACTACTAGGGAGGAGGTGTCTTCACCTTCTTTCTCTTACACAAACAATCTGAATTGAATTGTCTCTTGCTCCTCTGGAATGAACTCCTGCCTCCTGGGAATCCAGGCTACAATCCCTAACAGTAACTCCAGTTAATACCTTGGAGTTGAACTTGGTACAATCACCATGCTAGCTAAGGGGGGGGGGGGAATGCACTCCAGCAGATACAAAGAATACCAGGCTTAACAATCTTTTTAAAAAGGTAAACCAGCGTGGAAGACAAAAGGTTAATTCATGCATTCTTAATATAGAGTTGACATAATCTCAATTCATTGAATGAAATAATGCTGTCTAGGTACCTGCTGTGTCATTTCCTCACATTTTGTTGTAGCCCGCCAGCAGAGCTAGTAGCAGAGTGGGACAGTGAGGAGGTTGGGGAAGGCTCGAATGAGGGCTATGCATCAGAGGAAGTGGGGCCGAGGGCATCTGGCAGTGATCAGGTACCTACGGAGCTAGACAGCAGTGAGGCAGATGACCAGCTGGAGCCTATTCCCAGTGTGTGCATGCGCAGAGCTGCCAGAAGAAAAGAACAACTCAAATCATGGTAGGCTTATGGTGGAAGGTGATTGCCCCCTCTCATAGGAAATAAAAGAGGAGCGAAAGGGGAGTGGGCTTTTGCAGGAAACAATTCGTTCATTCGTTCATTACATTCATTTCAGGAGTGTGAAGATCTGTCCATGAATCTCAGAGACTCTGTGCCAAGTCTTTCTTTGCACAGCACTGCATTTGGAAACATTTACATGGCAGCTTTCCAAGATAGATAAGGTCTGTAGTCATAAATATTCCTTCAAAAGACTGTTTGCCAGGCCTTTGCTGAATGTGAATGAGAGTAATTCACATTCATTTAATAAAAGGGGTTTTGCAGGCACCAGGACTCTGCCTCGTGCTTTTTGGGGAAGCCTGGGTCAGAACACATTTTTCTTCTTTTTGCAAAAATAAAAACTTCCAGGGATGCCCCAGGGTGCCTGATAATTTATTTCATATTTCTCATGGTACATTTTAAAATTTTGTTTACCCTGGCAGGGTAAACAAAGGTTTGGGAGGCTTGCAAATTGCTCCCGAGGGCTGGGGAGGGTCGTTTTTGCTCGTTTTCCCTCCAGCCCCCAGGAGCACTCTTAAGAGCCTCCCAAAGCTTTGCATGCCCTTTTTCTTTGCAAAAAACAGCCATTTTTGCTCATTGGGGGGGGGGGCAGCTCCCTAGGATCGCTCTTAAAAGCCTCCCAAAGCTCTACGTGCCCCCCTTTTTTGCACAAAACGAGGTGTATAGAGGGTTTGGGAGGCCTGCAGAGTGCAAAAACTGTTTTTCAATTTACCTCTTCAAAATCATGGTGCATTTTATACTCTGGTGTGTCTTATAGTCCAAAAATACGGTACTCTGGGAACTATTAGGGAGGAGGTGACTTCACTCTCTTTCTCTTACACAAGCTATCTGGACTGACTTGCCTCTAATTTCTCTGGAGTGAATCACAAAGCTATCAGGACACTGCAGCCAGCAAACCAGAGGATTGCAGGATGCCAGACAAAGCTTTTGTACATGTTCCTCCCTCACCCATCGCTAACGAAATAGAACACACCACCCAAGAGAACATCACTCAAGGTTTCTCGTCCTTTGAACGACATTTTGAAGAGAAGCACTTTCAGCCCAAGGAAGTTTAATAGAAAGAAGAACTAAGGAGACATGATAGCAGTGTTCCAATATCTCAGGGGTTGCCACAAAGAAGAGGGAATCAAGCTATTCTCCAAAGCACCTCATGGGCAGGACAAGAAGCAATGGGTGGAAACTGATCAAGGACAGAAGCAGAACTGAGGAGAGATTTCCTGACAGTCAGAACAATTAATCAGTGGAACAGGAATTGCCTCCAGAAGTTGTGAATGCCCCAACACTGGAAGTCTTTAAGAAGACGTTGGATAGCCATTTGTCTGAAACGGTATAGGGTTTCCTGCCTACGCAGGGGGTTGGACTAGAAGACCTCCAAGGTCCCTTCCAACTCTGNCCAACCAACCAACCAACCAACCAACCGTTATTAAAAAGCATAAACCTTCATGCTTATTTCAAGCTTTGCTCTCTTTTTTACCTCAGCACTTTTTTTGCCTTAAGCCTCTTGGTTTTGGATAACCACCATACGGAATCAGGCTCTTAGGCAGCAGACTTAAGGTAAAAATAATCATCTGTCCAGTCACAGATTGTCCAAAATCTTATTAACTAATTTACTGAAGTGAAAGTTGAGCTGCAGGAATGTCAACAACTAAACTATCTTCCATTGGAATTTATTTATCTCCTAATACCTTAAGGCGGGGCC